GGATTATGGGGTTAAAACTAATCTGAACATGATAGTTTCTCCCTCAGTGGAGCATAATTGATGCCATGTTTGGTCTCTTTGGTTCCTGCTTCGGTTGAGTTGTTTTTTTTTTTTTTTGCTCATCTTTTGTTTTCCATTATTAAAAGCTTCAGTTAGTGTTGAGTCTGCATTTCTAGGTTCAAATCCTCCTGCAGCCACGACAGATTTTCAACTTGCAGTAATGGTGAACTTATAGGGTACTTTATTGTGAATATATAGACAGAATACACAAAAGGAAGGAACAATAATTAAACTTTCAAGAAAATAACCTAATTCATTCTTGGAAACAGGGCAGCACGGTGGCGCAACTGGTAGAGCTGCTGCCTCTCAGCGAGCAGGTCCTTGGTTCAAACCCTGGTCCAGGGGCCTTTCTGGGTGGAGTTTGCATGTTCTCTCCGTGCATGCGTGGGTTTTCTCCGGGTACTCCGGTTTCCTCCCACAGACCAAAAACATGCATGTTAGGCTGATTGGTAACTCTGAATTGTCCCTAGGTGTGAGTGAGAGAGTGAATGGTTGTTTGTCTCGTTTGTCTCTATGTGGCCCTGTGATGGACTTGCGACCCGTCCAGGGTGTACCCCGCCCCTCGCACAGTGATTGCTGGACATGGGCACCAGCGACCCCCGTGACCCAAAATGGAATAAACGGGTAAAGATAATGGATGGATGGATGGATTCTTGGAAACATACCAGGCTTTTTTTATTTCCACAAGTTTTTTTTTTTAAATGATGTTTTTCCTCAAGAATGCTGCAGATCTTGATTTGTGTCTGCAGGAGAAAAACGTTCCTGTCAGGTTTGTCAGGAAGTGTTTCAAATTGTTGTCGGTTAGATCTGAGGCATGCTCATCCCACCTCGTCACACCTGCGTGACACTTTGCTGATTTACTAGGAAATAATGGAGCTCCAGACATATTTGTTATTTTCCTCACATCTTTAAGCCCATAAACAGCTTTAGTTATTAAACTTACTTGGCTATTTGTTTAGTTCTTCATAGGCAAATAGAGTATTTATAGAACAGAAGGGCTGAGGCACAGTATCGTCTTGTAACATCCTTGTTGAGCTAATTAAAGAGGCTGTGATGCACCAGCAGACAAAAATATAAACACACCGAGGATTCTTTCTGAACCTTTTTTCCCATCACCTAATTACTTTGCTTCATTACGCTTCATACTTTTCACCTAAACTAATGATTAGTGAATAAATAACTGATTAATGTCCAGATGCATGTTCAATAATCCAGGTAGATGAATCTAACAAAGTCGAGTCAGGTCCTCTGGACGGATTCTTCTTTGATGAAATGTTTTTTTGTCATTTGTCCTAAAGACTTCTTCAGTCTGAGGAGCTGCACTAAACTCAGTCTTATAAACAGCACCTTCTCATAGTGCTGACAGCCAAAACTAGTTGTTCACATGCCAAAGGAGATACATCAGCCTAACGACTGATCATTAGCACACTAATGGATGCTTGTTATTCACAGAGGGCTGAGTGATACTAGCAATCACAGCATTGTAAGAGGGGGACAGTTGAACACGGAGGCCTCCACCCCTGTTTAATGATGGACGGTTTTTTTTCACAAAGATGGCCTCCTTTACTCCTCGTTCAAACCATTGTTCCTCTCTGTCCAGGATGTGAACATCATCCCTGAAAGAGTGACCTGGAGATGAGTGTAGACCGCAGAGTCCTGGCCTGATGGTGTTGCGCTTCTAACCTACAAAGCTCTCAACAACCTAGCTCCATCTTATATTTGAGATCTTGTTGTTCCATATTTTCCTAATAGAGCACTTCGCTCTCAAACTGCAGGCTTACTTGCAGTTCCCAGAAGCAGAATGGGAGGAAGATCTTCCAGTTATCAGGCTCCTCTCTTGTGGAACCAACTTCCAGTTTCTGTCCATGAGGCTGACACATTGTCCAGTTTTAAGACTGGGCTTAAGACTTTCCTTTTTGATAAATCCTATAATTAGGGTTGGCTTGTTATGCTGCCTTAAGCTTAGACTACTAGAGGACAAATTGATCTAATTTCCTTAAACAAATTGTTAAAATTCCCTGTGATGGACTTGCGACCCGTCCAGGGTGTACCCCGCCCCTCGCACAGTGATTGCTGGACATGGGCACCGGCGACCCCCGTGACCCAAAATGGAATAAGCGGGTAAAGAAAATGGATGGATGGATGAATTGTTAAAATTGAATTCAACAAAGTCCATGCTCAATAATCCAGGTATAAAATCCAACATTTTTCAGTCAGGTCATCTGGACAGTTTCTTTTTTTGTGATGAAATGTTTCGCCTTCGATCCAGAACGCTTCAACAGTCAAGGAAACACACAGCAAAACTGATTCTTCCTCCAACAGCTTACTCCAAAGTAGAACAACCCAGTTCTGCTTGTGATAAGATGGTCTCTTTGGTACGCCCCCTCCTCCATTGATCGAAGGCGAAACGTTTCAGCACAAAAAAAGAAACTGTCCAGATGACATGACTGAAAAATGTTGGGTTAATATTGAATAGTTTTCATTTCATATTATTTTCATCTTAACGTGATTCTCGACCTGCCATTGTGTATCTGTTCCTCTCAAACGCAGCCGGTCGAAGCAGATGGCCACTTGTCCTGAGCCTGGTTCTGCTAAAGGTTTCTTCCTCATGTGGGAGTTTTTCCTTTCCACTGTCACCTTCATGCTTGGTCAAGATGAGAGTCTGTGATGGAGTTAAACTCAAAGCAGTTTGCTCCTCAGATAAATAATGTTAAATTATTATTTTATATATGAATGTTTATGTTCAGTGCCCTGACATGACTTCTGTTGTGACTTGGTGCTGTATAAATAAACTGAATTGAATTGAAATTGCTGGGCCATCCTTTTGGCCAGTGGCTGTTTAGTTTCCCCGATGTAAGACTGATCACCTTCCTGACACTGAACAGCATACACAATATTACTCTGTTTGTGCCGGAGAACTGGATCTTTGGGATGAACCAGTCTTTGCCGTAATGTATTTTGGGGTTTAAAAGCCTCTGGGACGTTATGTTTAGAAAATAAACGTCTCAGTTTCTCTCATACTCCCTCAACATATGGAATGACCACTGGTCTGTGTCTGGGTTCCTCCTGGCTGAAATCCTGTTTGGGGTTCTTCTCTGCTGCTACGTTTCAACAAAGAAGAACCCGTTCAGAAGACTTGACTCAACCATGTTAGATGTAACTGAATAAGTACCTGCTGGATAAAATCTTTTAATTATGTGAGCTGTAAAGTCAAACACAGAGGATCACACGTGATGGACCGGGCCTCCCCTTCGCATGTGATAATACAATATCATGTGTGGTCTGACAGCTCTTTAAAGTGATTTGTGACTGACTCTCAGCTACTACCACACTATGCTTTAATGGGATATCTATAAAATAAACTGCATCTTTGTTATACAAGGTCACCTGGCTGTGGCGGTCATTTTATATCTGTTGTAGATGTTAACCCATCAATTTCTTTCAGAGTGTTTCAATAAAATCTGTTCAGTGATTCATGAGATATTTTGGTAACAGAATGTAAAAACATCACTCTGCTGTTGGAGACAAGCGATAAAAAGGCATAAACAGTTTATTCCATTGATTTAAAAAAATTAAGAGATCAATTAAAATAAAACACATCAGTAATTTACTCGAAGTTCTAATAAAACAAACTTTTCTTCACACAACTTTAAGCAGCCTATAAAAAAAAAATCACTTCTAACATCGTAGTGTAGCAGTTCAAGAGATGAAGACAAAAAAAAAAAAGGGCTTCACTTGAATAAACACCTTCTTGCTTTGATGCTTGGATGCACCTGCTGTCCCCAAGACACCTATGGTACCTAACAAGGAACTGCTCTGTTACATTTATTTATTTTATTTATTATGCACATGATGACAAGAGGAAGACATTTTTGAGAACATTACATATGCCGTATTTTCCACCGTACATGTCGCACCACCCTATAAGTCGCATCAGTCCAAATACGTCTAATAAAGTGGAAAAAAAACATAAATACGTCATTTTGCCGTATACGTCGTATCTATTATGCGTCACCACTGACAACCCAGAAATGTGGGCCGGTGTTGTGCCAAAAATCGATTGGCTGCCAAATGACGGTAGCGGGAGCGCTCACAGGAGGACTTTAACAAGAATTTAACAAGATTAACACTTAAAAATAATTATTTGTTTGCTCGACTTTATAGGAAAGGTGTGTCTCAGTTGAACTTTTTCTTAATAAATGCACTTTGACGGTTTAATCAGCTGCATTTCAGAAGCTGATACACGGAAGCAGGAGCACGCAGAGGAACAACTTGTCCATTTCTTCAAATTTTAACAAGATAAGCACCTAAAACAATTATTTGTTTGCTCAACTTCATAGTAAAGGTGTGTCTCAGTTGAACTTTTACTTAATAAATGCACGTCAATGGTCAAATTAGCTGCATTTTTCTGGGGCGGTGCAGCAAAATGAAGCTGATTTGACGTTTGCTCCAGACATGATCCCAGAGCTGGATGAACGTGGTAGGCTTTGGCAAGCTGATTGTCTCATTAATAGCTATGTTTACCTATTAGATGACACAACAGCGTGCCATACAACTTGAGTGGCATCTAGCAGCTGAAAATGGTAGTGTGCAATATTTTCAATGTCAGAATGAATGCAAATGGTCAACTCTCAGCCAAAAATTGGTTTATAAATATGAAAAAAATCCATAAATTAGTCACTTCGGTGTATACGTCGCAGGGCATGTAAATAATGCAAAAAAAACTACGACTTATAGGCCGAAAAATACGGTAATTTATGAATGGTAATTCTTCAAAAATAAAATAAAATTCCCTGCCACATTGTTTCTCTGCTCTTGATGAAAAACACAATAAGTGGGACCAACAGTTTCATGTTAGAAATGAACCTCAGATGTAAAAACCATCACATGCCTTTGTGGCCTTTTCTGCATTTCTTCTATTAAAACACAGTCCTGAGATTTTAAATCTTTAGTCCATATGTTTTGGAGAAACTCACGCTTGAATTATCTGTCTTTTCTGCATCCTGCCCACAGATAGTTGAGCTGCTGTTGGTGCTGCAGGCAGATATCGTCTTTTTGGGACTTTCTTCAGCATCATTGTTGGGACGATCCCGTTTGATTTTTGTCTTAATTAGATGTAACATTTCTATCAGGTTGAGCAGCAGGGACACACACGCGACTATAAGCATGAAAATGATGAAGAGCGTCTTCTCCGTGGGTCGGGACACGTAGCAGTACACTGTGGTGAGGCAAGGCCAGCGGTTGCAGGTGTACATGGGTTTGAGCCCAAACCCATACAGGTAATACTGAGCGACAATAAACACCACTTCAAACAGAGTCTTGAAAATAATATTGAGGATATACGTCTTCAGCAGTTTACCTTTTAACAGCACTTTGCCTCCTTGTTTATTCTTTGAAGCATCTTTGTTGGTAGATGATGATCCGTTTTCAGTTTGTGCCCTTTTCTTCTCTTCCATGCGGAGGTGATGAAGGACGTGACCCAGGTAAATGAGAGTGGGCGTGGAAACAAAGATGATCTGTATCACCCAGAAACGGACGTGAGAAATGGGGAACGTCTTGTCGTAACAGACAAGACGACAACCGGGCTGATTGGTGTCACATAAGAAGTTGGACTGTTCGTCGCCCCACACTCTCTCAGCGGCTGCTCCCAGCACCAAGATGCGGAAAATGAACAGCACCGAGAGCCAGACTTTGCCCACCGTGCTGGAGTGATTCTGGGCAGCCTCCAGCAGCTTTGATAGCACACCCAAGTCTCCCATAGCGTCTCTGTCCCAGGCCTAATCCAAACCAGGAAGGAAACCTATAAGGAAAAGGAAAACGTGTTTTAACTTGCACTAACTCAACACTTTCTGAAAGAACAGCGGCCTCTACATCTGAGAAATGAAGCCAATGTGGACAAGCGGTACAACAATGTCTCCTGTCTCAGAGGGGTTAGGATAGTGAATGTTAGTAGTTTTTGATATGAGTGTTTGTCAGACTGGAGTTGAACAGGGAGTGCAAGTAAACCTTAATGATTTTGGTGCAATATATTCAAGTGGGTAGGAGTTACACAGTTCACACGACGCATCAGTCTGAGAATGAGACGTGTTCTGGCTGCCTCAGACCATTCAGAAGACACACCGAGGTGGCATGGGGGGTTGGAGACAGGCTTTCTCTGACGTGCCTCTGTGCCACCGAGTGAGGTAGTAACAAGGCCGGGCTGATCAAAGTGTGAAGAAAAAGAAAAACCGCTGAGCTGCAGCTCAGTAATGTGATGAACTGATGGCATTAGTCATGGGATTCAACAACAACAACAAATAGATTGATTACTGATAGAATATTTATGATGACACACACAGAAACTTTCTAGTTTGTTTAAAAACATTTACTGACAAACAGGATCACTAAAGTGAGTTAATTCATTGTAGTAAATAACAAGAGGGAGATTAATTTAATGCATCACATGAGGCATGGGTCATTTTGACCCAAGGGCAGCAAGAGGGTTAAATATGAGACAGGAGAGTAAAAAAACCTTCACTGGCAGGTTTACTGTGTATTTACAGAAGCTTTGTGGCAGGAGGAAATTAGTTTTGCACACATTTTATTGTAAATCATCAAAACCACAGTTTTATAATGATGTAATTTACAAATTTTCAATTAAAGCGTTGAGCTTTATGTTTTCCCCTTTTTAAAGTTTTCATGTTTAATTTAAAAATACAGAGCATTTCTACATTAAAAAACGTAATAAAATAAATAAATTTGATCAAAATACAATGTCTAATTAATAACAATTCAATATATTGTTGATAGAGTTTGTGTAGTCAACACTGCATTGTTTGGATTAATATCTCACAATCCTTGAAATAACCAATATTTGAGTGACATAAGAGCCAAACGGCAACAATGATACAGATAAAAAAATTATTTTTGTAAGACTATTACGTTGCACAAACAACTCTTTCTGAAAACATTAACCCTTTATGTGCATTTAACTGTGTGAATGTTTATGAAGCGTTCACACTATTGCGATCCATTTTTCTTCTGTATATTTTCAGCATATTTCTTGTTCCACTATTTTTGTGCTATTTCAACAAATCATATCAAACATTCAGCTCTTTCAGGATAATCCTGCTAGTGCAACTTTAGCTTTTTGAAATATTTAGCCTTTTCTGCCACTTTTTTCCTCATAGAAAATGAATTGAGCTCATTTTACATCCTTCATATCTTCAGATCTGTTTACAACCTTTTACTTACATTTTGTTCTGGTTCAGCTTTTTTCAACTTCCTTGTTTAAATTTCAACTTTTTTCAGCTACTTTCAACTCATTTCAGTTGCTTTTTCAGCTGTTTTGTGATCCTTTCAGATTTATTCTGCTAACCACAACATTTTTGTGCTTCTTCTAACTTATTTCTGCCAATTTTAGCTTGTTGTGCTCCTTTCAGCTTATTTCTGCAAGTTTGAGCTTTTTCTACTATTTTGCTGTTTGTATGCTAATTTTAGCATTTTCAGCTAATTCCACATTTTTCAAACTCATTTAAACTTTTTTCAGCCTAATTCAGCAAAAACTTGCTCTCTCCACTTTCTTCTGGTAATTTAAGCTTCTTACTGCCTTTTAGCTACCGTTCAGTTGTCTTTTTGCTCATTTCAGCTTTTTTCAGAAAATGTCTACTTTTTTGGTGCTGATTTCTGCTTCTTTCGTCCTAATTGGCACACATGTTCTTTCTACTTTCTTCTGGTAATTTAGGCTTGTTCTACCTTTTCAGCTACCTTTTTAGCATATTCCAGATAATTTCAGCTGTTTTCAGATAAATGCAAGTGTTTTGTGGTAACATCTGCTACTTTCAGCCTAATTAACTTCTTTCTGATAATTTCAGCTTGTTATGCTCCTTTCACCTTATTTCTACTAGTTTCCGTTATTTCAGCTATCATTTAGCTGTTTTATGCTATTTTTAGCTTTTTCAGCTAATTCCACTTTTTTTAAGCTCATTTCAGGTCCTTCCACTTCCTTCTAGTAATCTAAGCTTCTTTTTGCCTTTTCAGCTACTTTTCAGCTTTTTAAAAAAAAAAAAAAAGTCCTAATTTTTGTGCTAATTTCTGCTTATTTAAACCAAATTCAGCAAATATATGTTCTTTCTCATGTCTTCTGGTAACTTAGGCTTGTTCTTCCTTTTCAGCTAAAATTCAGCATGTTTTTGTAGCTAATTTCAGCTGTTTTTCAGCAAGTTCTTTAACAAGCATTCAAACTGCATTTTCGCAGGAAATACAGTTTCTCTGGTTTAATTTAAGTTAAACATCTGACAACAATGGTGACAACATCAGTGCAGTGCAGCAGTGGTCATCAGGGTGAAGGGGTCCACAGACAAATGACTTTTCAGTATAAACACACATTAATTATTATCCTAATATCTGACATTCAGTATTTCTATCTTTAACTTTTCATCTAAGAATGAGCGATATGCAGTTTTGTGGTTTAAAGTCAAATAAATAAATATATTTTACAGATCCTATAATTAAAAGTCTCTGGATCTTCAGGTCCTCCAGCCTGATCGTGCTGGTGTTCTTGCTTGATGCTTCAGTGTTTTCAGTTAGAGCTTCAGAGCTTCAGACGACCGTTATTGCATTTTTTTTTCTGTAATTGTTTTGTTGTAGTTTTGGTGAAGTGCTTTGCTCTTGTTTGGGCCTTCAGGTGTTAGGGAACTTCGCACGGGGCCCTTGTCTGTCCTGTTCAGAGAACACTGGATGGGTTTTTCTTGTAAAAAAGGTAGAACACTTCAACCAGATTGAGCAGCAGGGACACACAAGCAACGATGAGCATAAAAACGATGAAGAGCGTCTTCTCCGTGGGTCGGGAGATGTAGCAGTACACTGTGGTGAGGCAAGGCCAGCGGTTGCAGGTGTACATGGGTTTGAGTCTAAACCCATACAGGAAGTACTGACCTACGATAAACACCACTTCAAATATTATCTTGAAGATAACGTTGAAGGTGTACGTGTAGAAAAGTTTTCTTTTCAGAAGCTCTTCATCATGCTTCTCCATAGATGGAGCCTCTTCAGTCTGGTTGCACAGTGATTGTTTCTCACGATCGTCCTGACTGGCCGAGTGCTGCTTTTTCCTCTTCATGTGCAGCAGATGAACCTTGTGGCCCAGGTAAACAAGAGTAGGGGTAGAGACGAAGATGATCTGCATCACCCAGAAACAAGGGTGAGAGATAGGGAAGGTTTTGTCGTAGCAGATGGCCTCGCAGCCAGGTTGGTTGGTGTCACAGAGGAAATCAGACTCCTCATTGTCCCACACATCTTCAACGGCAGATTTCAGCACCATGATGCGGAAAATAAATAAAACTGTTAGCCAGACCTTGCCCACAGCAGTCGAATGTTCCTGGGCTTTTCCCAGCAGCTCAACCAAATAGCCTAATCCTCCCATTGTACCTCACGAATATGTCTTCATCTTTATCTGCAAAAACCAGGAGAAAAACCTTTCAGAAAACAGTCAAATGTATTTTTATTTGCACAAAACAGCACTGAGAGAATCCAAAGACCTCCTTATATGTAGAAGTTACACTGCATATAAGAGCAGAGGTGTTTTTATGAAATTTTTCTTCTCCGAGGCAGAGTGACGGATCCTGATGAGTTGAGGGAACAATTTTATCCACCACCAGGCACGTAGGCGGAGCCAGGGGGTGATCGCTGGTGGCCTTGACCACCATAAATTAATCTTCAGCCACCCCAATTATTTGAGGAAACAATGCATTTAAGCAATAATTCAATTCAATTCAGTTTATTTATATAGCGCCAAATCACAACAAAGTTGTCTCAGGGAACTTTACAGGAACATCCACATACATAAAAGCCAATTAGTAAAGTTCTCTATCTAAGGAATCCAGCAGACAAGTTGAATCTTGGCTTCGATGCAGTCTCCCATCCTGAGCAAGCACAGTGGCAACAGTGGAAAGGAAAAACTCCCTTTTAAAAGGAAGAAACCTCCAGCAGAACCAGGCTCAGGACAAGCGGCCATCTGCTTTGACCGGCTGGTTGAGAGGACAGGAAGGAGAGACAGACGAACACAGAATGGTAGGTCCAGGTAGAGGTCCAGGTGTATCTGAAAGACAAAAAAAAAACACATGTTAAGGATAGAAAAAATAATTACAAATACAAAACAGGTTGAGCAGAGTAAGTAAAGACAGAAGTAGAGTGAAAATTGTGGTCAGTTTGTCCTCCAGCAGTCTAAGCCTATAGCAGCATAACTAAGGGACAGCTCAGGAAACCCAAGCAGACTAACTATAGGATTTAGCAAAAAGGAAAGTCTTAAGCCTAGTTTTAAAACTGGATAATGTGTCAGCCTCACGGACAGAGATTGGCAGTTTGTTCCACAAGAGGAGCCTGATAACTAAAAGATCTGCCTCCCATTCTGTTTTTGTAAATTCTAGGAACCACAAGTAAACCTGCAGCCTGAGAGCGAAGCGCTCTGTTAGGAAAATATGGAACAATAAGATCTGTAATATAGGATGGAGCCAGGTTGTTGAGAGCTTTGTAGGTTAGAAGTAAGATTTTGAAATCTATTCTGGATTTGACAGGGAGCCAATGGAGATAAACTAAAACTGGAGAGATATGATCTCTCCTACTAACTCCAGTTAAGACTCTGGCAGCAGCATTTTGGATCAACTGAAGACGTTTTAAAGAAGTATTTGGACATCCAGATAATAAACCATTGCTATAGTCCAGTCTAGACGTGACAAATGCATGGGCCAGTTTTTCTGCATCATTTTTAGACAAGATGTTTCTAATTTTAGTGATATTACGCAGGTGGAAGAAGGAGGTTCTAGTAACGTTTTTAATGTGGGGGATAAAAGACATGTCCTGATCAAAAATAACACCAAGATTTTTAACATTAGAGCTGGAAGACAGATTAATGCCATCTAAGGAGGGAGAAAGACTGAAAAATTCATCCCTAAGGTGCTCAGGTCCAAAAACCAAAACCTCAGTTTTGTCTGTGTTCAACAGGAGAAAATTAAGGGTCATCCAGGTTGTTATGTCTTTAAGACATGCTTGTAGTCTAAGTAGCTGATATGATTCATTGGGTTTAATGGACAAATATAATTGTGTGTCATCATCATAACAATGGAAATTTATCCCATGCTGTTTAATAACTTTACCTAATGGAAGCATATATAAAGTAAAGAGTATTGGCCCAAGCACTGAGCCCTGAGGAACTCCATGACTAACTTTGGTGTATGAAGAAGATTTATTATTAACATTTACAAACTGGAATCTATCAGATAGATATGATTTAAACCACTTTAGAGCCGTTCCTGTAATCCCAATATCATATTCAAGCCTCTGTAGTAAAATATAGTGATCAACCGTATCAAATGCAGCACTGAGGTCTAACAGGACCAGTATGACACAAGTCCATTGTCTGAGGCCATGAGAATATCATTAGTTACTTTTACTAGTGCTGTTTCTGTGCTATGATGAGCTCTAAACCCTGACTGAAACTCTTCAGACAGATTATTTCTTTGTAGATGTTCACGCAACTGACCTGCAACTATTTTCTCTAGAATTTTTGAGATGAAAGTTAAATTAGATATAGGTCTATAGTTGGCCAGAATTTCTGAATCAAGATCAGACTTTTTAAGTAAAGGTTTAATTACAGCAACCTTAAAACGCTGTGGCACATAACCATCCATTAAAGACAAATTAAGTAGATCCAAAATGTGGACATTAATTAGGGGGAATATCTCTTTAAACAGTCTGGTTGGGATGGGATCTAGCAGACATGTGGATGGTTTGGATTAGGTTATTATTGTTGACAATTCAGAGAGCTCAACAGGACAAAAACTGTCCAAACATAAATCAGGCTCTAGTGAAATTTTTAAAGTGTCCTCATTTGACAGGGGACCAGAGATAGTAGAAGGAAGGATGGTTTGAATTTTCTCTCTAATTGAAATAATTTTATTTATAAAGAATCTCATGAAGTCATCACTACTTATAATTGTAGGGATACATGGTTCAACAGAAATGGGACTTTTAATTAGTCTAGCAATAGTACTAAACAGAAACCTAGGGTTATTTTTATTCTCCTCTATTAAAGATGAGTAATATAAAGTTCTAGCTTTACGGAGAGCTTTTTTATATGTTAGCAGACTATCTTTCCAAGTTAAATAAAATTCTTCAACATTAGTAGAGCGCCATTTTCTCTCCTGGTTTCTAGATGCCTGCTTTAAAGTACGTAACTCAGAATTGAATCAAGGAGCCAGTTTCCTCTGATTGATTACTTTCTTTTTCAGTGGAGCAATTTTATCAAGTGACGTTTGCATTGAAGTTGTAAGATGATCAACTAGATGATCTAAGTCACTGTTCTCTGATGCATTACTCTGCAAGACAGAGGAAAACATTGATGGAAGAGATTGTTTAAATTTGGTTACAGCATTTTCTGATAAGCACCTGCTGAGATGAAATTTACTCTCAGTGACTGTGTAGTCATTTAATGTAAACTCAAAGGTTATTAAAAAATTATCGGACAGAATAGGATTTTGAGGAACTATTACCAAGTATTACCAAGATGTGCGGACGTTTTGGGTAAAACCAAATGACTCTATTAAATTATTAAAGGCTATGCTTAAGCTATCACTCTCAACATCCACATGAATATTGAAATCACCCATTATGATGATTTTATCAGTATTTAATAGTAAGTCAGTTAATAATTCTGAGAATTCAGACAAAAACTGAGAGTAAGCAATACACAAACTAGAAAACCTAGTTTCCTGAAATGATTGGGGTGGTTGGTTTACATATACAGTATGTTGTTTTGTCCATCTTGGATTTTGACGCGACAACCCAATTTTCCAAATGAACATTCCTTACGCCTAATATTTACATTTGTTCTGTGCGTATATGCCAAATTGGTTGATGGTATTTATTCTTCTAAAATGATCTAATATTATAAATCCTAGTAGATTTTTTTCTTCTTTCGGCTGCTTAGGGGTCACCACAGTGAACTAAGTCGCTCAAAGACTTGGCAATTATTTTTACACAACCACAGCCCTCTGTGTGGAGCAGCCATCTAGGGTGCCCAGAGGAGTAGATGGTGGGAGTTAAGGGCCTTGCTCAAGGGCCCAGAGTGGGGCAGATGAGGGTGGAGGCAGGTGTGGATGCTTCATCTATCACACCCACATTTTTTGTGTTATTGGTACCGGGAATTGAACCAGCAATCTTCCGATCACAGGTCTACCTTCTCTAACCTCTGCACCACCACTCCAACATAAATCCTAGATATTGCTTCAAATAAATCAGTGTGCAGAGATTCAAACTATTATCTGCTGTCGTTTCATCAGTTGACTTTGCAAAACATCTGTCCATCTGAATATAAACTACTTTAATTCAATTCCGTTCAATTCATCTATCCATCCATTATCTTCACCCGTTTCTTTCTTTTCAGGTTGCGGGGCTCACTGGCGCCCATGTCCAGCTATCATGGTGCGAGAGGCGGGGGGGCGGGGGGGGGGGGGGGGGGAGAACCAATACTTCCTTGTAATCTTTTAACGCAGTCTTGATCAATATTTATCAAGCTTTTTTCAGGTCTTTTAGTTTTTGTTTGCACATTTTCTGACCAGTGGCTGTTTTTTAGAGGAATATTTTGTTTAATTATTGTTGAGTCATTCAGGCATAAAAACCTCCTAGATCAAATTGATGAATCAGTGTTTCGTCGACACATACTCAACGACAACTTAGCAAATAATAGACAATTCTATAAAAATAAACCAGAATTTAAGTTCCAACTACAGAAATTGCATTTCCTGCAAAAATGCAGTGTGAGTAATTGCAGAAGAACTTGCTAAAAAAAACAGCTGAAATTAGCAAAAAAAAAAAGGTGAAATGTATCTGAAATGGATGAAAAAGCTTAAATTAGCAGAATAAAGTAGAAAGAACACATATTTGCTGAATTAGGTTAAAATAAGCAGAAATGAGCACAAAAATTAGGAAATCAGCTAAAAAACAAACAAACAAAAAACTAAACTGAGCAAAGACTGTCTAAAAAGTAGCCTAAAAGGGCCGGATGAAGAGAAGGAAGTGGAAAGAACTGAAATGAGCTAAAAATGTGGAATTAGCTGAAAAAAAAACTAAAATTTGTATAAAACAGCTAAATAGTAGCTGAAATATCCAAAAAAGCTGATAGCTGAAAAAAGCTGAAAGGAGCATAACAGGCTAAAAATAGCACAAATAATTTAATAAGGCTGAAAGTAGCTGAAATTACCAAGAAAAACTTGAATTTATCTGAAAACAGTTGAAATTAGTTAAAAATTTTCTTTAAAAAAAGGTAGCTGAAAAGGTAGAACAAGCTTAAATTAGCAGAAGAAACCAGAAAGAACATGTTTGCCTAATTAGGCTGAAAGAATCAGAAATTAGCACAAAAAGTAACAA